CATTCCCATTGAAATCTGCATGCTAAAATTTCTCTTTAAAGAAAAAGATAATGCTTCAACATTCTTCTCAGCCAAAGACATGTGTGATATGAAATGAGGCAATCAGGCAGTTACTAGAAGAATTTAAGCCCTTTTAAGGCAGCTACAGAAGGAAAGTGTCTGATGAAGGAAAAAACCCATTACAAAAATTTATTTTAAGAGCTCAGAAAGCGAACTATACCCCTGGAGGGGATAGACGACTCACTCAGAAAGTAACAGAAGAAATTTACCTTGGAAAAATTAAGGCCTCTTTCCCACAGCCAGCATTTTTTCTTAGTATCTTCTTTCTTTTTTTTAAACAGAATAAAATATAGTAAGAGTAATTTACCAGAAAGCTCAAACAGCCACTATACTCAACGACCTGAATAAACCTCAAAGAAACCTATCATTACTGAAAAACAGAACATGAAATCCGCAGTTGTAGCAAACGCTCCTTTCCCCTCACTGACCTGTTATTTGGGAATTCAGCTGTAAAAATTAACTTGGCGCTTGCTTTGGAGGAAATGCTGCAGGTGGGAGAAATTAACTCATTAAGATCCAGCAGAAAAATCTCTTTCTTTTAGTCATTTTGATTTATTTTAAAGCTGAAGGACTTGATTAAAAATGCATAAAGAATCGTTGATTTGAATGTGATGCTAGTAAAACCTTAGCGTTCTTTGAGTACCAAATGTTGACCTATAAGAAAGCCAAGCAGATAGGGATTAGAAAGACCTGAACTGCCATTACTATTCTAATACGAAAATGTAGTAAAAACCTTGAAAAGAATGGCTATGTTTTTTCAAATTAATATTCCACATGTGGAGACTATCTTGTGTGGAATAGGTATTTTCTTTTTTTTTTTATGTGTTGGAGTTAAGCATTAAGTATTAAAAGATCATCTCTTCATCTTCCACAATTATATGGTTTGACAAGCCTGATATTTGCGCAGTGGTGATAATTATTATATTTGCACGCAGGTGGTTTACTGTGCTTTGATTCTATATAAACAACGATAGTTTTATTTTCCAAAGGTCAGGCATGTAGTAAGAACTGTAACATTATGAAACAGGCAATTTCTAAGAATTAGTTAAAAGAGTGCACTTCTATTAGCTTCCTGTTCTCCTGCTACTAAAGTGAACAAGTGAAAAACTGGCTCTCATACTGAGAGTATATACCAGTTTACCTCAATTCATGGTGAAGGCTGTAAAGACCTCATGGATCCCTTCTAAAAACCTCTTTGCCCACCTCCCGTAAGTATTTTTTTAGAAATACTGCCTAGGACTTGCAGCTGCTCATGCTGACTCTGGGTGATTACCCCCTCTTGAAACATGATGCTTGTCCTTCTGGCCCGTGTTAATGAACAGGGATCTTTGGAATTTGAAAAAGCCCAAGACTTTTGATTTTAGATACTTTATTAATAAGTGTTTGTTCTTAAAACTACAGAGGCCAATCAGCCACCACCCCACTACACCTGTACCAACAGTAGCTTTATCTGGAAGCTAGGATTGGGATTAGAGTCCACTTCCTATTTTTGATAGTTTTCTTGCACTTTTTACGAAAAGCTTGCATTGTCATGGTAGCTGAAGCACAGGTTTAGAGGTAATAACAATGAGAAGAGGCCTAACCGACACTGATAACGGGTATCTGAAGCACTGGCATCCTGCCATGCTTACAGCACAACTACAGGACCCATTGCTGCAAACAGCGGTAAGCAAAGAGTAACAGGCCGTGTTCGCTTTGTGTGAAGTTGTATTGACTACAATAATATTTTAGTGTTAATAAATCTTGTCATAAAGAGAGGCTCAAGCAGGCATTGGAAGACACAACATGAAACCACTCGTGCTCCGACAGCGTGCTTGGCCTCTTGCAGTTAGCCAAGGCTGCTAAAAGCCTTCTCCTTTCACCAAGCTGGGGGCAGAGGAGCCGCTCCCCACCTCGCCTCTTCACTTCGGTTTCTCCCAGAGGCTGCTGCGTGCTTGCAGAGATGGACTGAGCCTACAGCCCCTCGTCAAGGCCCCACGCACCAGGCCGCACCGGCAGGGCACGGAGGACGCAGCCCTGTCTGGTGTAAACGTGCTACAGAAGTAGGAAAGCCTGTCAGGTGATATTTTCAAGGTTTTTTTTTTTGTTTTGTTTTTTGGAGGGCTTTTAAAAAATAGGTGTTTAGAACAGCAGCAGAGACAGTTTTAACCTTCGGTCCCTTCAGAGCCGCGCTTGGCCCGAGGGGACTGCCCAGATGGGAGCCCCCCAAGCCCACCCGCGCCCCAGCCCTGCAGAAGACGGCGAAAGGCGGGCCGGCCGGTGGGAGAAAGGGGAACCGGCGCCTTCCTCAACAGCGCCTCGGCCGCCGCCCCGGGCTGCGGCTTCC